AAGTAAACATAGATTAATATGATAGAATATTGAGTCCAAAACAGACACACATTTAACTTTTGACAAAGATAAAAATACAATTTAAAAAAATATACAATTCAGTGATGCTAGAAATTGGACACCTGTAGATAATTTATAAAGAATCTCCTACCACTGTTTTGTACCATGCACAAAAATGAACTCAAAATAGATCATAGACTAAATGTAAAGCCGAAAATTACTGAACTTCCAGAAGAAAACATAGATGAAAATCATGTTTCTTCAAAGACTTCTTAGATTTGACATTAAAAACATTGTCCGTAAGAGAAAAAAAGAAAAAAAATTGTCCTTCATTGAAAGTGAAAAAGTTTTCTCTTAGAAAAACATTGTTAAGATAATGAAAATAAAAACACATAAAGCAATGAGTTAAATTACACCAAGATAAAACAATCTGACAAATACAGAATGTGGAGTATTCCCAAAGATAACGTGCCTAACGTTATTTTCAAAAACGTCAGTGTATAACTGATTCACTTTGCTGTATACCTGAAATTTACACAACATTGTAAGTCAACTATATTCCAATAAAAAAATTTTGAAAAATAATTGAAAAAAAATCAGTGTAGAGGATAAAAGAGGGAGATCGTGCTAGACCGAAAGAGAGAGAACAAACTGAACTTGAGTACTGGTTGGGGTGTGGGGCGGAGAGGGATCATTGAGGAAATTTCAATGTAGACTGGCTACATTCAATGGTATTAGTTATTTTTAATTTTTCTGAGGTGTGGTTTTCTGTATTGTGGTTAAGTAGGAGAAAGTCTTATTTCTAGGATGTATATGATTGAGAAGTGAAGAATCTTGATATTTGTAATCACCGACTCAATGGACATGGGTTTGGGTGGACTCTGGGAGTTGGTGATGGACAGGGAGGCCTGGCGTGCTGCAGTTCATGGGGTTGCAAGTAGTCGGACACGACTGAGCGACTGAACGGAACTGAACACGTGAAAAGTGAATAGGTAAGATGGAAAGTGCTAACAGTTGTCTCTAGATAATGTATGTGATTATGCGTTAGTATTGTTTTAATTTTTTCTGCATGTTTGAATTTTTTTGTAATAGAGGTAAGTGTTTTTAGAACTTGTTTGGGAGGAAGTATTCTTTGAAGATGGCCTTATGATTTGCAGTGCATTTCTATAGATCTTATGAATATCAGATACCTGTATTTACATTGCATACCTGAAAAATACTTGTAAAGAACCCACCTGCAATGCGGGATGCCTGGGTTCAATCTGGGTTGGGAAGATCTCCTGGAGAAGGGAACAGCTACCCACGGCAGTATTCTGTCCTAGAGAATTCCATGGACTATATAGTCCATGGGGTCGCAAAGAGTTGGGCATGCCTGAGCGACTTCACTCTCACCTGAAAATAACTTTTTACTAGACTGCACTATGTAACACTGTCTCCTTGAGAACTGGGATGAAAACAACTCTGCGAAATGCTTTGTAGTGTAAGGGTGTTTTTGGAGAGCATTGTTTACTGTATTGTATGGCATCGTTTCTGGGAAAATGAAACTTCAGGTTTTAATAATAAGAAAAGATGTGCTGCTTCTGAGAAACTGGATTTTTGGCACGTTACAGACCTTGAATCAGGTAAGTGAGCAGAACATTTTTTTTGGCCACTAGAAAACTCACATCTCACTTGTGGCCCATCTCTCGCAGGTGCATTTCCCAGCTGTACAGGCTGCTTTGTGATTTTCCCTCCCAACTCTAGTTTTTCCCTTAATCTGATTCCTTCATCTACTTTTTGATTATATTTATTTTGTAAGATACTATATGTCCAACAATATTCTAGCCATATTAAAAGGATTTAAGAAAATACAGCTTATGATTTGGAAGTCACAGCCCCAAATACTGATTTTCACACTTATTATTATTAGTCATATAATATCTTGTTCCTAATTTCAGAGATCATTTATCCTCTAACCAAATTTAGAATAAAAGGAATATTACTAGAAAATTTAAAAATATATACTTTTAAATATAGTTAAATATGGAGTAACATGGTGGTAGCTATATTGGCAGTAAATACCTTACTTTGGTGTGAGGCAGGGGAGAGAACGAGGTCATTCTATTCCATGTAAGTGGAAATTCAGCTGCAGTTAGAGTTGGCATTTTTCTTGAGAATTTCATTTTTTAATTTCTTTTTTTTTCAACTAATGAAGGGAAGTAAATGTGCCATTGTTTTATCTATAGCATTTCTAAAAGGATTACGAAGTACAAAAACTCCTAATGAAAATTATATTAGTTGCTCTTGAATGATATTAGAATTCTTCCCCTTCATACACAATAGTATCTTCTATTAAATGATACTTTATATTTTATAAAATATTCTTCATCAGCATATTGATACAGATGTTATATTTACAATTTGTTCTTGCTACCTTCTTGGGAGTTGAAGTCTTCACATCACGTAGTTCTTTTTGGTGATTAATGTTTTATATTACCACTGATGCATCATTAGACAGCAGAATGTTTAAAACAACACTATAAAATATGTTGTATGAATTAATAATGGCTAAGACAGTTTTTAGGACTTTATATATGACGTAGGAGTGTCCTCTGATACGTAAGTTTATGATAAGTTTATTCTAACTTTGAAAGAAGTATTCATTGATAAAGAAGGTTTTCTTCTTTTAGCTAGGATTCTTAAGTCCAGTGGAATCTTCCACTGATGATTTTTTTCCTTTAAAGATCTGAGAAGTAGCTTGTTAAACTAAATTATCTTTAAAGGCTTTTGTACTTAGAAAACTTAGGTTTTGATTTTATATTTGAACATGCTTAAATCTTAACCTTAGTAACCTATTATTTTCTACCATAAGGGACATGCTAAAATTAATTGCCAAAATGGGCAGGGTTAGTTGTACACACAGTTGTGAGTAATGTAAGATTGCCACCCCCTTTGCTCCAGGCACAGTGATTCCGTAAAATTAGGATTAAGCTTTCCTCACTTAGGTCTCTGGAATTCACTTTTTCTAGTTTGCCAAAATACAGCAAAAACAAGGTACACAGTTTTCTTTCTGTAGTATTTTTAAATGAAAGTATTATTCATTCTCATTTATTCATTCATTTCTTTTCTCAATGATTTCTTAACACATGAAAATCAAGTTTAACTTTGTAGTAGTGCCTGCTGGTCATGTGAAGGCTGTACAACGTCTCCATTTATGCCGCTTCACACGTCACTCACAGGACAAGTTCCCACAAAGACCTGTTTTGTTACACTGTCGATCTGTCGATCCACCCTAAAGAAACCAGTTTCTAAACTATGCACAGCTTTGTAAATCAAGATGAACTGGTCAGAAATTGGATACGAAGCAAGCGAGAAACCAAATAATGCTCACCAGTTAACAAGTAAAATGTGTTGTATATAATAAAATTGCAGGTAATGAAATGGTGTGCATTCTAAGAATATGCTAGCTAGAAAGTTTACGTCACATTCACACTATAATCATAGATCATCGTTTGTTTTTTATTATTGTTGGAGTTAGGAAAATATAAGCAGTGCTTTTGGTAAGATATTCTAGGCAACAGAGGACAGTGAGAGGAAAAGATGAAATGTGAACCTTAGTTCTGGGTATTTCTTAGCAAACCCTGTGTGTGATAGCTAGGTGCCAAGGTTGATAAGAAGAGGAATTTGGTATTAGGCAGATTTCCTTCTTTCTGGCAACAATGAGCCACAGAAAAGAGGGAATATAATGGCATGCAGGATTTATTTTCCCAGGGACTCTCCATCTAGGTCAGGAAGACATAAGTAATAGAATATGTTTTTTACCACAGAATTAAATTCAAACATAATGTATTCACAGCTCAATTTATGGTTTTTTGAAAATACCCTTGAAATATTTTCTCTTTGAATAAATGTTTTGTCATTATTTTACCTTTTTGTTTAGAGCATTAAAGAATATCAAGCGCTGTTCAGAAGTTTTGTTTTCTTTCAGATGATTTCTAAACATTGTGCTTTTAACTCACTATTCAAATAACCTTCCAAAGAACCTGCATCTTTTGAGATGCTTTGTTTTTCTCCTTTTGAAAAATTTAAAAAAGAAAAGAAGCAAAGAGAACGAGAACTTAAACTATCCTTTATTCATTATTCCAACAATAGGCAAAGGCCAGGCTTCCACAACCAAAACAAGTTAGAGAATTCTCAGAGTACTTAGTGAAAATATGTAGTCTAGGTCTTGAGTCAAATGAACATATTACAAAATACAAAAGTTGTTGTGAGAACACATGACACATTTAAAAGGTTTCCTTCCTTCTTATTTCCCAACACATTTTGAGAAGAATATTATAAGGGAAAAAATTTCTTTCCTCATAAAGCCTGTTCTCTACCAGTCATATGCACATACTTATCTTCTGGTTTGAAGAAACCAGGTTATCAAGGTAACTTTTTCTAAGACATCTTTACATGAGAATACAAAAAGATTAAATTGAATAATTAAATATCTCCTTGCTTCCAGCTGCTTCTCCCTGGCTCTCCTTTCTCAAGTTTCATAGTCTCTGCCCTCCCCTGCAGACTACAATTCAGGAGTATCTAATTTCTCAGTTTAATTTCTCATTTTTCAGTAGTAAGAGTTGAGTTGTCAAAACAGTAGGCTTAAAATATGATTGGATTTTCTTCTACTTTTTTTGAGATGTAACTTACATTCAGTAAAGTGCATATATCTTAACTATATAGTTTGAATTGTAAAATGAATATGCATCAGAATCAGTGGGGATGATGTGCTTAAAATACTCCTGCCAGGAAATTAAAAAGTTCCCTAGATGATTCTGAGCTACAGCCAGTTAAGAATCCTTGCCTTCATAAAGAGCCAAATTGATGATGTACATAAAAACACATAGTATACCATAAAATGTTATGCAGGTTAAATTTAGGTTGCTGTTTAAAAAAAACCTTAAATTTCTCATATGCCTTTTGGAGTTTGTAATGCTGACTCACTAGTGAAACTCTCTGTTTTTCTGCTTCTTTTTAAGAAAATGAATGCAAAACTTCATGATGGAGTATGTCAGCGTTGTAAAGAAGTGCTTGAATGGCGTGTAAAATACAGCAAGTACAAAGCATTATCAAAGCCCAAAAAATGGTAAGTTAAGTAATATCAGCATCATATTACTGCATTTCCTGATTTTCAAAATTGTGTCCAGATAAATATTAGGGGGAATAGAGAAAAAATTTCCATTCTTCCATGTGGACAAGAATTTCATCTTACATGCTGCATCCTGGCTTGTGAGGCAAATAGATTGAAAGGGTAGATTCATCATTCCTTTCCCCCTTCTTCCTTAAGTGAATAATGCACCATTTTTATAGCATCCTGTTCAAAAATGAGACTAGGGTTTTTGTTTTGCAAAATTCTATCTCCCAATGACAAGATAATGATATTTGCTATTTAATTCACTAAATTAAATAATAATTTTTACCACAGGGGATCTTTAAAAGCATCTAACCTTTTAATTGGACCCATGAAGATTACTGATACCGCATAAATTGAGTATCATGAGTAAATCACTAGATTGGTAACTTATAATTTCTCTCCTTTGAAATTTTGGGTCTACACAAAAAGATACTGGACTTTGTCTCTCATTTTTCTGTCCTTTATCTTCCTCTGTAATGTTGGGATTCTGTTTTATCAGCTTTGTGCATATCCTAATGCTGTCTCCTCACATCCTTTGGCTCAGCTGAGTAAGGGCCATATTGCAGGGTAATTGCTGCCTGAAAGAGAAAACTGATCATTTTAAATATAAGAATTAGCATCAGTATGTGTGATATTGTTTTAACAATTATGAATTTTAATTTGATAATTTATATTTATAATTTGAAAATGTATATATATTTGATATTTAATTTGATAGTTTGATAATTAATTTGATAATTTATATAGGTTAATTTACATAACCTATAATTTACAGGAGCTATTTGAATGCATTTGTTCATTGTTGCTTTATTTTCCTTTTAGCTATTTAGTACTGACATCTTCTTTAAATGTATTCCCTCTTCCTTTTTGGGGGGAAATTTTAATTAAAGTTTGGAAGGTTAGTCTAAATAATAAATATATTATAACCTTTGCCGTTCATTTCTTTTGAAAATTTATGTCAGCTTTTGTGTGGATTTTCAGCTCAAGCTATGGGGTAATTTATTTGAGAATAACAGCTTTGAATGTTTTAATTTGGGCAGTTTAGTTTGCTCAAGATGCTTCTTTTTAACACTGAATGGTTAAAAACCTCAAGTAAGGATAGACTAACTTCAGCTTTTTAGAATTTTTATTTTTGTATTGCTCTTGCAGAGCAAATTTTTAGTATTTATTTTAGTTATAGATGACCCCTTTTAAAATAGCTCTACATTTTTCTCTCTCCTGTCTTCCAGCCTTTCCTTTGTATTCTGTAGCATTTCTTCCCCAAAGAAAACACATCTAAAGAAAATTTAAAATTTATGCTCATTGAAAAAAGAAATTTATGCTCATTGGTCCAAATTAGCAGTAGGGAAATTTGGCAACTGTTTGTAATATTCAGTGCTAGATTTCCATGAATAAAGTAACTCTGTCCCCTACCATCGAAATTAGATGCTGATTCATTATTAATCATGTAGTTTTAGTTAATAGACCTAACACAAAATTTGTAGTTTTTTTTAATATTTTCAACAGGTCTTTTTTTTTTATAATGGTATTTTGAGATTTCATCACCAGTCTGCAATTTTCTCTTGTAGTACTATTACCTAAAAGAATTTGAAGTACAGGTAATAAGTATTTATATAGCCATAGAGTTGTAATAGATTCACATTATAACAAAGGAAATAATTGAAAAATATTTGTTCCTTACCCATACCCAGTATTTTAATCTCTTTAATATGTGCTGCATCCTTTATGTTTATCTTCATTGAATGTGCCAGCATATAAAAGATCATATCAATTATTATACATTTTCCAGATGGTATAACTTTCTGTAGGATTTCTGAACCAAGTGATTTTACACAGCTCTTGAATTTTCACTCTTTTTGTGTATTGTTTATGGTCTTAATATTTTTATGGCTCCAGAAGAACTTGCATACTATAAATCCTAGAAGAACAAATATTTTATCCAAATATAAAGACTCAGTTAAAAGTAAAAGGAAACAGTATTAGTAGCAAATCTTATGTTTAATTCTGGAGAACTTATAACACAACAACCTAAGAATGGTTGAATGTAGACACATGGACCCAAAGGTCAGCAACCCTGTCCTGTCTTGACTCGTTGAAGTTAGCGAAGCTCATGGTGATGCTGCTAGTACTGGTAGTATGTGACTCAGAGGCCTTGGAGATGAGAGCTGGAGAGGAGCTGCTGTTCTGTATCACCCTGCAGCAGCTGAAGCCAGCCCTCGAAGAGCTAACAGTGAGTGCAGAATGAAGGAAATACAATGTTGTGCCGATACCAAGGTACAGGTAACAAGACTTTAAGCCTGAAGGAAGACCTCTAGTGATAAAGAAGCCCAAACTAATTCAAAACAGTGACAGCTCCTGAGAGACTAAGAAACTGCTAGTTAAGACAAGGTCTGAACATGTTATCTAGGAAGTCAACTTGCCTGGCCTGGAGTATCATGAATTTCAGATTATATTAGAATTCTAGATTACATTAGGCATTTTACAAAGCCTAGCTTTCAAACTCCAAACCGAGATTGAGAGTGTCCTGAAGAGTATAAATCACCTGTGCATACTTTGTTGTCTCTGCATATCAAAACTTGACCAATATTATAAGGATTTAAATCCATTGATAAAAGATGATTAAAGTAGCATAATTTATTTAAAATTTCAAATGTTTTATTCAAGCTAATCACTTGTAAATTAAATTTGTCCTTTGTTAAGATTTGTATAGGAAGTTTACTTTGACACTAGATGTGTCTTTATGTAAAGATTCCTTTTCCAGCACCCTGAATATTACATTTAGTTAAAATACTGAGCATTGTTTCGCTTGTCTGTCTCATTCCACAGATTATGTAACCCAATGAGGTACATAAAGAAACGTTCAGCAGAACATAAAATGTAGGAGGAGAAAGTGCTGTTTATAAGTAACAATTCTTTTAGAATGAAGTAATATTCTGAGCATTGGGGAAATTAAAGCATCTTCTCCCATTTGTTTGGCAAGTGAATCATCAGAAACTACGCACATCTAGCAAATATCCATTGTCTATGGGATCTGATATCAAATGTTAGATTCAAGAAGAAAAAAAAAGAGTTTGATATCTAAACTCTTCAAACTTTGTTTCATTCATGGGAAGCAAAAATTGTATGGTGTTGGTAAGTGGCAGAAAATATTTTCGTGTTTCTCTCTCACCTTCAGTAAGGTGATGTGCTGCAGGATTTGTATAAGCATGTTTTTTATGACAGTTTCTCCCAGTTACTGGAAACAACCCTGCACCATCTGATTAGATGTCTGAACTTGAGTTAAAAGAGGAAAGAGTTGAAAACTGTGTATTTGCTAGAGAGACGGGGAGGATGGCTATGAGGGGAAGGGGAAAAAATGCACGTCACCTATTAGTAATGTGTGAACAATGGGATGCTGATACAATACTCCCCTTTGATAGGATAATTTTAAATGTCATTGAGTATACAAAGCTTTAGGTCTTTATAGAAATAAAATGAAAGGCTTATAAAGATAATGTTTAGTTTTTTATAGCTTTTCATCTCTGTAGAAGCAATGAGATGAACTGCCGTCCCTTGGTTTACACTCTGCCCCTTAATCAGAGGTCAGCGTCGTCGTACCAGGATTTCCCCATCATTTTAGCTCATATCTTTTGATTTTAAAGCAAGAAATTGCTACTTCCAGGTGGAGGACTGTTGTGGTGCTGTGACAGACTTCTCCCTTGACACCTGAATAGTATAATCATTATTAAGATTACTATTAGATGTAAGAATTGTGGTTCAGGACAGAACTAAATCTTTTTGTATTAAACCTCATTTTTCAAGAGGAATTCCCTGGCGGTCCAGTGGTTAGAATTCTGCCCTTTCACTGCCCAGAGCATGGATTCAGTCCCTGGTTAAGGAATTAAGATCCTGTGAGCTGCAAGGCAAGGCCAGGAAAAAGCAAACAAAAAAACCCCTCATTTTTCAAGTGCCATGTTTTTGACTTTTGGAAAATAAAAACCCAAAGATAAATTAAAGCCATTTGTTACCATTCCTGGTCAGTCCCAAGCCATTCATGAACACTGTAAATAATTTTAGGTGTAGAGCTAAAAGTTACTGGAAAACAAGAAATCTTAAAAATGTAAAATGATTTGTATAACTCTTAAAGAAGAAGGAATCTTGATATTTTTCACTTAAAACTCATTTATAGACATTTATATTATTTCCCAGGTACTAGAAATACAGATGTTTAAAAACTGCTCCCTTCCTCAAGTAATGTAAGGAAATGAACTCTTAAATATACTCCTTTCTTTTTTTTATTCTGGGCTCAGAGGGATTAAATGTCTATCCAAGATAAGAAAGTAAAGCAGATGGAGTTAAGATTCAAATGCAAATTGTCCTATTTCAAAGCCCTGTGTTTTTACTCTCCCACAGCAGAATCTCAGTATTTTATTACTCACTTAAAAAGTCCTTTTTAAAAAAAAAAAAAAAGTCCTTTCTCCCTCTTCACCTGAGCCCAATATTAAATTTAATAGAAGTCATCTATGTTGTTTATGGAAGTTTCCAACTTCTGAGTCCAATATATATAGCCCTGCTTTTTTTTTTTTTTTTTGAAATAACATGTATCTATAGACAATAGATTTTACTTTCAGGTCCTGAAATGCCTAAGCTGTTACCTAGAAACTTCTTATGCCTTGTGTTTCAGGTAACCAAGCAACCTTTTTCTCCTGTTAATTTCAAAATGTGGCACGCTAATACCCACATTGGTGTTAAAATCTCTAGCCTGCTTTCTTTTCTCTTTCTACCCATTAAAAAACAAATCACCAGTTTATGTAGTATTAGCTCATGTTTAACATTGCCATGGTATTAAGAGAGAAAGGAGAAGCTAGTATAAAATAGCAACAGGCCACAAACAGATTAGAGCCTGGCAGGGGAAGGTTTTGCCTCCCAGGGAACTTTTGGTGGGGTCTGGAGACATTTTTGGTTGTCAAGAC